TTCATAATACCAAGATTTAGGGCATTCATCCACACAGTTTAGTGCTTTAGGTTCTTGCTAAAATGCAAATTGCTGGGTCCACACCAAAGGCTTAGTCAATCTGGAGTAGGACCCCAGGAAGTCTGCCATCAACTTGAATGCCAGAAAAGTGCTGAGATGTACCCAAGTTCAGATTGCTACCATGTGACAGCAAGATTACAACTGAAGTTCATGGTGAAGAGTTATCATCTGTCTTTACTGTGTGTGTGTGTGTGTGTGTGCTTAGGGATTGAACTCAGGGTCTCACACTTGCTGGATAAGTACTCTACCACTTGAGCCATGCCCAGGCCCCAGTTCATTTGCTCTTAGTTCATTTTTCAGATAGGGCCTAGCATTTCTGCCTGGGGTGGCTTTGGACTGCATTCCTTCTATGTCTGCCTCCAAAGAAGCTGGAATTGCAGGCATGCATCATTATACCTAACTACTGTCTTTACATTTTATGGAGCAAGTGGATGTGTGTAGGTTGATCAGGATTAAGGCTTTTCCAAAGACTCCTTGTAAATGCATACTCTACTGTCTGTCCCTGGGCACACTCCTAGATGTCTCTGTACTTTCAGGATTATGTTCTCAATGCTGATTATCAACATACTTTCTGACCTGGCTTCTCCATCCACACTGTGCAAACTCTAGTCTGTAGTGCTCCTCATTCACATCCTGGTGGTACCATAACATGTTGGTGATATTGGGGTTTGAACTCACGACCTCAAACTTGCTAGACAGGAGCTCTACCACTTGAGTCACACATCTAGCTACCATAGTCATGTTGAAGGTGATGCTTTATTGCTGTATCCCAATTAATAAATGAATTGAACCCTTAGTGTGACTCTAGAGACAGACAGTGGACATTTATTAAGAAAAAAGGAAACAAAATGAACACTTAGAAGTGCCACTTGTTTGTACATTGTTGGCACTATAAGAACTAGAGTAGTGTCTATCTCTTGTAGACTTAGTACAGCCTACTGAAAAAGTAAGGCGCTTTGCAAATGAGATCTCATTTATTCCTCTCGAAAATGAATTGTGGTATTATACCCCTATTTTTTCAGGTGAAAAAAAATGGAAGTTCGGATTATAAAACTCACTGCCATGAAGTCAGTTAGAGGGAATGTTAAAATTTAAACCCATATCCTACTCCAAACTCATCATCTTTACATACACTTCTTTTCTAACTCAGAATTCCCAGTATTTGTATAGTTTGTATATGTATAATCTAGGATGTTGAATTTATCCATTGTAGTCGTTTGCATGATTTTGGCCACCAAATGCAACTCTCACACATCTCTAAATATTAACTAAGTTCTTTTTCTTACAGTTCCCCTCATTACACAATAGCCAAAATAAATAAAATGTGCTTACCATTGCAAGTTTCGCATGGGGCTTCCCCACACATTTGACTGTCTTGCCCGAACATTCAAAATAAGCATATGCATATTTATAAACACACTCCTTCCACTTATGCTTTCTCACTATTTCCTTTTATCATTGGAACCATTCAGCCTTCAGCTATGGTATCAGATCATCCAGCCTGTCCCAGCCTTCTCAGTCATTCCGAAGCCATGCAACCCCAAAACATCACTGCCACTCTCATGGCAGTGCAGCCACCTTCTTTGGTGAGAGCTCCCCCTGGGGGCTTTTCATCCTCCCAAGTGGGCCACATGGCAGGTGCTCTTTAGAAAGCCCCATCTTAGGCTGACTTTTGCCAAAGCAGGGTTGAGGTCCCTGGCATTTGAGAGACAGTAAAATGGACTTAATGGTCATCTGCCCTTGTATTATCTCCATCTGAATATCAGCTGACATATCAAGAAAGCAGGAACTCAGACTTAGTATCTTTGCACTTCAGGGAGAAATATCTTCCACTAAGTCACTTTTCAACCCCATGGCTCAGGTATTAGTATAAGGGAATGTCGGAAATGGCTGTGGTGGGCATGTGCTTGCTTGTTCTCTTTTGATACTTCATACCACCTATATCATGGTCCATGTAATGAACCCTCTTCTAGAACTTCTTCCCAGGAATAATTTTGTCTCTGTAAATGATAGCTATGTTTTGTCATGAAAAGAAAGGCTATGCCACCTCTCATGTCTCTTTTTGTCATAGCTGCTAGCAAGCTCAAGAGTTAAATTTAGTGCTCAATTATGTTGATTACCTCATTCTTAATTTCTAGGGAAAAAAAATCTTCCCTTTTCTCCTTCATGATTTCTGAGCTCTGGAGGCACTGGAAGTTTAGAGAAGGTCCCATGATACCTTTTTGCTTGACTACTTACACTTTTTGGAAGTTCTTTTGGCTATCTATTGATTTAAAAAATAAATCCAACTATATCATACCCTTTCTGTCTTATAACTAAGGATATCAGAACCAGTTATGATACAAAGCACTGGGTTTCCTAATAAATATTGATTGGGAAATTCCTCTGATATACAAAATAAAATTCTACCTCCCTTCTCACCCCGCATAAATTATTCAGATATGGCTTTTAGTACCTACCTGAGGATCAACCACATAGAGGGTCTTGGTCTGATCCATTTCCCATTGATGACCAGAGAGAGGAAATCAGAGGAAAGGCAGCCTACAGGACTGGGTCAGGAAGAGATCTCTAAGCTGTGGCTCAGTCAGCTTCCCTAATAAACCAGCAGCAAAAGAATGAGTGAGCATATATATCAGACCTAGTGATCATTAGCCATGACTTCTGCATGGCATGGTACAGGTTGCTCACCCAAGGTGTTCAGCAAAGGGGGCTGATAATCAGACTGAAACCTTACTCATCCTCCCAGATGGTGTGCCTTTTCTTATTCACACAAAGGATCCATAACACTACAGGAAAACTGCTTTTACCCCAGCCTCATATAAACCCTCCTCTGACAAGGAAAGGTAAGTATAGAGATGTGGGGGTTAGAAGTGTAGAGCAAGTGACCAGACATGTTCTGCTAGTGCTTTTTTACCCCACTTGGTGACATAAAGCAAATGCCCTCACCCCAAATATTTGAGAAGCAAAGTAGCAAATACTGTCCAACTATAGTTGTATAAATTGACAGAGAAGGATAAGATATTAGGAGAGAGAATGGTGTTCATGAGGAGAAAAGGAGCTTGAATTGCCCCTAGTTCACACATTTGACATAGAGAAACTTAGAGTCTACTATGTGCCAAGCACAGCATGAGGCATTGGAGATACTGCAGTGAGTAAGAGAAGCAAAATCTGTGATAATGCCTCAGTTCTGGTTTCCCAGAACATTTGTTCCCTTGGACAATTTATTTCCTTACCTGTGAAATGAAGTTCTACAATATCAGGGTTGTTTGTATTCTTCCCCAGTTCTAGCATTCTTACTGTATGTTTAGTCCCCCATCCCAACCTTACAAAGGATATTCTTTCACAATATTGCCTTGGGGATAGAGACCCCCCAGGATTCTTCTCTGGTCTGTCCTTAAAACTTTCCATGTTGCTGTGCGTTGAAATCAAAGCCATAGTTCTCATCTGGCTGACCAGTTATCTGCCAAGAATCAGCCATCAGCAGGTAGAAGTACTGAATGATGGAATCCCCTCATGAGCAACTTAGATGAGTAATTCAGAATACTGGAAGCATAAAAGTCCTGAGTGAGGAATGGCAAGAGCAGACACTAGAGGGGTGAGCAGGGACCATCCAGAAGGCACACATACACAGAAAGGCATTTCTACTTTGAAGTGAAGGCAGCAGGAGGATTTTAACAGGGAGTAGTAACATATTCAGATTTGCACTAAGAATAATCAATCTGCCTCCACTGTAGTGAAAAACACAATTAGAAACAGTGAGCTACACTCAGGGGCTCTGTCAGCAAGCAGGGAAAACATAATGATGGCCTGAATGAAGGATGTAAAGTGCAGTGGAAACAAAGGAGACAGATGTTAAGAGAACTGATTGATCAAATGTACAAGACTTTGAAACTGATTAAATATGGGAAGAGAGGGAGAAGGCAAGGAAGATTGCTCCCAGGTTTCTGGTTTGGGCACCAGAATGGTGTCTGTGTCCTGCAATAGACCAATTCCAGTTAGGCAAGAATCTGGAGAGAGTGATCAAATGGAGTTGGAGAGGAAGGTCAGGGACTTAGACCACTCATTTCCTTTGTTTTGTTGCAGACTGCATATTCATACCTGCTTCAGCTCAAGACTATACATAGTATACAACCTGACTAAATGCATGTCTTCTGAATTAATTTTATAGTGTGAGACTCTATAAAGTGAACTATGGTATTGACATCTACAAACTTACAGTTAGACTCAAAGAAACCATCAGCCTTTAACCTCTTTAAATGTTCACAAGGATACCTTGATAGATGGGAGACATGAAGGTGGGACTGTGAACAAGTCTTGATGGCATCCAAATCTAGCATCCAAGTTCAGTTCTGGAATCTCTCAGACTGACTTGCTCCGTATGAGCATATGGCTCCCATTGACTTTAATGGGATTCCCTTACAAACCACAGATTCCCAATTATCCCCCAGTAAGTACAACATTTATAAGAGATATATTATTTGTCCTGAATGCCCCTTGGGTACTGTAACACTGAATTGTAGTGGCAACAGAACTCAGAATAAGATCATCTTGCACTAGAATGCCACACTCTTCACATCTTGATTTCTTACAGGCCACAGAAAATAGGTAGTTGTAACAAGAAAAGAACATTTTTAAAAACAAAAAAAAGATACTTAATTCCATGATAAGAAATATCAAATATAATCTTCCTGTAGTGTTTATTCATATTGGTTTAATCCAAAAACAAAACATTGGGGGTGAGGAGAGGCAGTATTCTTTCCAGAATCTGGAGATTAAATAATTTAGTAGGCCTTTCACGTTCAGCTCACAAAAAGGGGATTTGCATATGAACTTGTTTCGGCAAGAAAACACCTCTGAACATGTTCATAGTTCATGGGAACTAACTCTGTCCGTGGCAGCTCCTTTCGCCATCTCCTTCTTTCTTTTCTTCCTCCTTACAGGTCACTGGATTGAAACTGTCTCAGGACCTCGATGATCTTGCCATCCTCTACCTGGCCACTGTTCAAGCCATTGCTGTAAGATACTTTCATCCCATTTTAAAAGAACTTCGGGCTATCAATATACTCCAGGCCACAAGCTCCCTACGATACATTGTATGTTTTGTGACAGAGTTTCTTAAAGAAAAGGAGAGCTTGCCTGAGATGCTTCTCTCAGGAAATGTCGATAAAAGCCCTCAACCTGCTTTACTAATAACCCCATACAACTGAAAGCTGAAAGGACTTAAGCATATGAGTCTTTGAGTATCGTACTTGTCATTTATCTAATTTGTCTTCTAAGTTCAATTAAGTACAAGCAAGCAGGTAGATATATGCTTGCACTAGAAAAGCTGGTATTAAGAATGCCCAAATTTATAAAAACACTTTGAAAAAGGATTCATCCTAGGGTTCCTTTAAATGGTATGCCTCCTTAGAATATGTAAGTGTTTGGTTTTTGATAATTAACTGCTTAAATGAGAAGTTAGGAAGGTTAAGGAGAGAAGGAAGAATTTGAATGTAAAATCTTAGTAGCTCTTAAACTAAAGATCCAAAATGAATTAAAATTCTAATACATTGTCTAAGGAATCTTCTTATCTAGAAGTGATCCATGGGTGGGTTGTAAGAGAGTTCTAACCCTGAAGTCAGAAACAAAATGTTGTATGTGTGCATATGTTAGAAAGTTCACTTAGGGAGAGTTTGTCAAGGCTTTCTTGGTCTCAAAGCAGGTAGGTCCCCAAAATAACAACTAATCCAGTGAGATTTATTCAATTCTAGAAACAGAATAGAAACCAACTTGGCAGGGGGTATAGTTCACTGGTAGAATGCTTGTCTAGCATACATGAGGCCCTGGGTTCAATCCCTAGGACTGCAAAAGAAAGGAGAGGCAAAGAGGGAGACAGAGAGGGGGATGGGAGAGAAAATGAGAACCAACAGAAAAAGAAAAATCAGTTTATTAAACTTGGATTCAAAATTTATTATTCAGCAACATATCTATTTAAACACCTCTTTTCCCCTGTACTAGGGGGTTGAACTTGCATCCTAGGCAAGTACTCTACATCTGAGCTATATATCCAGACCTAAACAAACATGTTTTTGTTGTAGACCTATACATAATAGTTATTCTGTGTCTCCAAACAACTTTTCATAACCTCATTACTTCAAATATTAAAACCATATGCATATTTACACATATCATTAACGGAAGTGCTCTTTTAATACACAGATTTGTTCAGGTGCTATGTGTTTAGAGAACAGAACTTCCCAGCTACTAAAGGAATATACTTTTGTTAATGCCACTGTGTAGTCAGATGGAATCAGCCAACTTAATTAAACAATCCTTTTTAGACTATCGACTAGTTTTTGTCTTCCTGAAGCAACTTTCTTATTGATTTAATAGCTTGGCTAGCTCAGTGAAATCAATCAAACTCTTTTATGCATAGACACTTGGTCAAAACTAGACACTTCTGACATCAAGATGGAAGAAGTGAATATTAAGATGAAAAGTATAAAGTGTCTATCAGTAGTAAAGACAAGAGGATTATTTAGTAATTCTGTCTTAAAGTGATGAAGATGATTATGACACTAATAATAAAGAATGGAGGTAGGACTGCTTATTATACATATGCCAGGCATTATGCTGATTACCTTAAAACCATTATCTGATTTAACTTTATGAGGTACGTATTATAGGACCCATCCCACAGATTAGAAACCCAAGCCTCAGTGTGGTTATTAACTTGCTCAGGATCAGGTAGTTAGTATGTTGCAGAGCTGGGATGGGAACCTACAGCTTTATAAAATAAAACTACATTTAAGAAGAATCAAGGAACTTTATTTTCTGATTTGTTTTGTTAGTATATGAAATCTTACACTAGAATAAATCACTTACATTGAAATGAATTATCCTCAAAATCAGAATTGTATGATACTCAACCTTTGTGAACACATACTAAGAAGAGAACATGAAATACAAGGAAATATGGAATGGGCTAAGGGCCTTTGTTATCACTTAGTGGTAATGACCATAACCTTTCAGGAGTCTTCCACTCTTTACCAGGCACCAGAGTGCCTTACCTACCTGGTGGCTTAGGGCAGTAACCCTGTAAACCAGTGGGATTGCCTTCATTTTACATACAAGGGACAAACTATTTGCCAGGGTCACACAGCTAGTGAGTGCATGGTAGTTGGAATTTAAATCTCTATCCCTCTCAGTCCAAGCTCCTGTTCTTTACACTTTGCCAGAGTTCATTTTTCTTTGATCTATTCTTAAAAGCCACATGGATGAAATGAGCTTTCGGGCATTCCCAAGAACAGTTTTTACTTAACACAAATTAGAAAACGTCATTAAGTTGGCCTGGGATTTTCTCACAAAGGTCCTTTTCCTGTTAAGAACATTGTAGCAAGAATGTAAAAACAAGGTTAAATTTAATGCAAACAAGAAGGAGGAAAAAAAGTGCCAGCTATGTTTTCCCAAGTACCACAATTTGGATAATCAGTGTTGTATTTTATGGGCCATAAATTTATTTAAAGTGATCATATTTATTCTGTCCATCGTCTTAATGATCTTTAAAAATACCACAAAAGGAAGACATTTTCAGATTTCTCGATAAGGCTTTATTTGTGGACTCAATTAAATTGGGAGGTGTTCCATCTGTTTTGAAAAAACGTATCTGAGTATGCTGATCTTTTGGGGTAAAGTGTGCATTCTAATGAAGTATTTTGATAACAGGTATTTTCCCATAATTGTTCAACTTGGAAACAAAAGCAATTTTTTATTTCCTCTTTCCTGAATACTACTTTAGCACCTATTTGTTGTTAAGTTAAAGTTAAACAAATTCTTGTCTATAGTAATGTTCATGGTTGGCACTTTGTAGGAATAGAATGAAATTATAGAAAAGTTAACTTGGGACTGTGGAAAACCCTCAAGGCAACAGAATTCTCTCTTGCTCAGTTTCATTGAAAGACCTGTCAACTACCCAGTTCATCCAGGGCCTGTTCATCTGTAGTTAGTTCTCTTTTCAGAACAGACCCTTGAAAGTACCATTTGCATTTGAAGTCTCAATTTGCATTTGCTTCTGTGCATTCCCAGTGGAATAGCCCAATTTTTATTTAAATTTCTCAGTGAAAACATTTTTTCCAGAAAGGTGAGCACAAAATCATTTTTGCACAAAGCTCTTTGGTGGGGCATTTCAGGAGGGTGGAGCCTTACACAGCAAAGTCTGGAATACTAAAGGGGAATGTCCTATAAGGAACCACCAGAGTGGGAAATTCCAGCTAACAATGCCACACTGGAGAGAGACAGGCTGTCACAGTCCTCAAAGGACAGCTTCTTGTTTAGGTCCTTCCCCAGGATATGTACTTTGTATTGCCCTCAGCTTAGGCCTGATAATCATGTGGTCCTGGGTCTCTGGTTTTAGATATATCAGAAATATCAGTTTTGCATGGCATTCCCATGCAAATTCTGAGGCAGCTCCCCTATTCCCATATAGACTACGTTGGTTTTGGCAAAATGTATAACTTCTAAGTGGGGATGACAATATGCAGGTTTTCGAATTCTTAAGATTAGAGATGATATTGAAATGCATAGTAGAGTGGCTAGCCTGTAGATAACAGCCAGAAGAGTTCTTATTTGTAAGCACCTTCCAAGTGCTTGAGCCTATGCTGCCTATAGCAGCAAGCTTGTAAGGTCAGTACTACTATTTCATCAAGTTTCAGACGATACTTTTATCACTTTTCATGTTACCATGTTTGATAATGCATATTCAACAGAATAAATGTATTAGTCCCATATAACAAATGAGAATTGAGTCTTAGAAAGATTAGGTACAAGAAATAGGTGAAATGCCTAAATATCAGCTTAAGGCTTTTTAAATTTAAAACCCATGCTCTACACAAGGGAGAAATGAGGATAGGTAAGATACCTAAAAAATTAGCTAGCATTTGTTGCCCTCAATGCAGAGAAACTAAAGCAGATACCTTAAAAGCAACTGAGGCCAATAGGAAAAGGGGACCAGGAACTAGAGAAAAGGTTAGATCAAGAAGAATTAACCTAGAAGGTAACACCCACGCACAGGAAATCAATGTGAGTCAATGCCCTGTATAGCTGTCCTTATCTCAACTAGCAAAAACCCTTGTTCCTCCCTATTATTGCTTATACTCTCTCTACAACAAAATTAGAGATGAGGGCAAAATAGTTTCTGCTGGGTATTGGGGGGGGGGGAGAGGGAGGGGGTGGAGTGGGTGGTAAGGGAGGGGGTGGGGGCAGGGGGGAGAAATGACCCAAGCCTTGTATGCACATATGAATAATTTAAAAAAATTAAAATAAAATAAAAACAAATAAATAAAACCCATGCTTTTAGCTATTGCAGATCTATGCCCCTAGAATTGACCATGGTTTCTTAGAATGCACAAGCACCAAATGATCCAGGGGAGATTTAAGGGCATCTGTTCACTTCCTGAAGTTCTGTGAAGTACTATTTTTGTATGACCTTTTTTTCTGGGCAGGTCAATAGGTTTTATCATATTCTTAGTGGGATTCATGATCCCCCCAAAAAAAATCTTAAGGAAGAATATCTGGGGATAATTAGCCATAGTCAGTAAGCAGGACCTGGTCTCATACAGTACAACATGTTTTAATTTTTTTAAACACACTACATCTGTGGATTATCTTTGGAGGCCCACGTTTTACCTGCTCCATATTTTTACCAGATTCTTGAATAACTTCAACAAACCCATAGACCTCTGGGCAGGAATTGCTGTGCCTGTTGGGCCTAACTGCCCTGTCCCTGATCACTTACTCCAAACCAGTTGGGGTTTCATGTGCTGTGGCTCCAGATTACCTCTGACCCTCCCGCCCTCAGAGGCACCCCCATGCCAGGAGAGATGGCTCTCCACAGCCTTGTCAAAGGAGTCTTCTCTTACCCTACATCCTACTCCTTGGCTTGGAGACCAGGGCAGTATCCTGCAACCTTTAGAAGCCCTATGTCTTTCCTGGCCAAACTTCTGGTCCCTGTTGCTCTGAAGCTAAGCTATGTTTTCCTTGTCTCTATGCAGTGGATACCAACTTTCCAACAGTGTTGTCATACTTTCACTAGAAACGATCATAGTCTTTTCTCCAGCTCACATCTCACCTAGTTCTCAGTGACTACACCATCCATGAAGACATTTGAGCCATCCAGATCCTCAGCCCTTTATCTCCTCTGTACTTCCCCTCTCTCCATTCCAGCAATTCACTCCCGTGCTCACACTAGGACTTTGCCGTCTCCCAGAATTACTCAGTCTCTAAACATTCCAAGGGCTCTCTGTCCACCAAACAAAATCCTCTTCACTTCTACTTGGAGCAACTTGTCAACATCACCATGTTGCTGTCTCCTTTAGGCCAGTTCTCTTTGTTTTTAATCTATACTCCAAATAAATTATTAATTTAGGACCTCTAGGTTTTTTGAACTTCCAAATAAAGTATGAACCTCAGATATTTAAACAGCTTAGCCAAAAATAAAAAATTATACATTAAAATTCATTTTTATCCGTTCTTAAATCATAATGTTTTATACTTAGTTTAGTAAACTCAGCAAGACAAGGATAAGGATAATTCATTTCAGGAGGATATTAACACAGAAGTTCTGAGATACAAGGGCTGAATTGAAAATACTTTCCAGGACATTAAGAACTGAGTGGGAATGGATGCTGGTCTAGAAGCCAGTTAATAGAGAGAACATCATTGCCCGTTTTTACATAATAACAGAGGCATTTTTAGCCCTTTGCCAGCCTGAAAGCTTGCAGTTCACTTTCTTTATGAAATTAGAGCCCTGTAATTTGTTTGTTTTTTCATTTGAATTTTTGTGTGTGTGTGCCATTTCTAAGGGAGACGTCTTTAATTCCCATTTAGTGAAGAAAGACTGACCCAGGTCCCATCAACAGTTAATTTCAGAGCAGCACTGCAATCACTACATCTCTAGTACCTAATAGAGGGTGTAGGCTACAGCAGATTCTCATCAAATAGTTGAATGAACCTCATTAATATTAACTCTGTTAACATAGTACATGCAAAGTTTTTGGTACAGTGTCAAACACAGGATAATGGTTGTAAATGTTCCTTATCATTTACTTTTGCTACGGTTACTAATGCTTCCTTCTGCTTTTCCTTTTAAGTTTGGGACCCGCTTTATCATAGAGGCCATGGAGGCAGCAGGGCATTCTATCAGCACTCTTTTCTTGTGTGGAGGCCTGAGCAAGAATCCCCTTTTTGTGCAGATGCATGCAGACATTACCGGTAAGTCTGGGAAGGAGGAAGGAAGGTCATTTTAGTGTTGGCATAAAATGGGTATGGCAAGTTCTGGACAGGTTGAGAATAGGTAGTCATAGGTAATGTACCAAGTTATTAAGATGACTATGAAGTCTTTATACTCTTGGTGGGGAAAGTGACTTCTGTGTATATCCAGCTATTGAATGAGATGAAAGAGGACAAGGGCTAGATCTTTTTTTTTTTCTTTTATTATTCATATGTGCATACAAGGCTTGGGTCATTCCTTCCCCCTGCCCCCACCCTCTCCCTTACCACCCACTCTGCCCAATCCCTCTTCCCCCCACCCCCTCAATACCCAGCAGAAACTATTTTGCCCTCATTTCTAATTTTGTTGTAGAGAGAGTATAAGCAATAATAGGAAGGAACAAGGGTTTTTGCTGGTTGAGATAAGGATAGCTATACAGGGAGTTGACTCACATTAATTTCCTGTGCGTGTGTGTTACCTTCTAGGTTAATTCTTTTTGATCTAACCTTTTCTCTAGTTCCTGTTCCCCTTTTCCTATTGGCCTCAGTTGCTTTAAGGTATCTGCTTTAGTTTCTCTGCGTTAAGGGCAACAAATGCTAGCTAATTTTTTAGGTGTCTTACCTATCCTCACCCCTCCCTTGTGTGCAATCGCTTTTATCATGTGCTCATAGTCCAATCCCATTGTTGTGTTTGCCCTTGATGTAATGTCCACATATGAGGGAGAACATACGATTTTTGGTCTTTTGGGCCAGGCTAACCTCACTCAGAATGATGTTCTCCAATTCCATCCATTTACCAGCGAATGATAACATTTCGTTCTTCTTCATGGCTGCATAAAATTCCATTGTGTATAGACACCACATTTTCTTAATCCATTCGTCGGTGGTGGGGCATCTTGGCTGTTTCCATAACTTGGCTATTGTGAATAGTGCCGCAATAAACATGGGTGTGCAGGTGCCTCTGGAGTAACCTGTGTCACATTCTTTTGGGTATATCCCCAAGAGTGGTATTGCTGGATCAAATGGTAGATCCATGTTTAGCTTTTTAAGTAGCCTCCAAATTTTTTTCCAGAGTGGTTGTACTAGTTTACATTCCCACCAACAGTGTAAGAGAGTTCCTTTTTCCCCTGCATCCTCGCCAACACCTGTTGGTGGTGGTGTTGCTAATGATGGCTATTCTAACAGGGGTGAGGTGGAATCTTAGCATGGTTTTAATTTGCATTTCCTTTATGGCTAGAGATGGGGAGCATTTTTTCATGTGTTTTCTGGCCATTTGAGTTTCTTCTGTTGAGAAAGTTCTGTTTAGTTCACTGGCCCATTTCTTTATTGGTTCATTAGTTTTGGGAGAATTTAGTTTTTTAAGTTCCCTATATATTCTGGTTATCAGTCCTTTGTCTGATGTATAGTTGGCAAATATTTTCTCCCACTCTGTGGGTGTTCTCTTCAGTTTAGAGACCATTTCTTTTGATGAACAGAAGCTTTTTAGCTTTATGAGGTCCCATTTACCTATGCTATCTCTTAGTTGCTGTGCTGCTGGGGTTTCATTGAGAAAGTTCTTACCTACACCTAGTAACTCCAGAGTATTTCCTACACTTTCCTGTATCAACTTTAGAGTTTGTGGTCTGATATTAAGATCCTTGATCCATTTTGAGTTAATCTTGGTATAGGGTGATATACATGGATCTAGTTTCAGTTTTTTGCAGACTGCTAACCAGTTTTCCCAGCAGTTTTTGTTGAAGAGGCTGCTATTTCTCCATCGTATATTTTTAGCTCCTTTGTCAAACATAAGTTGCTTATAGTTGTGTGGCTTCATATCTGGGTCCTCTATTCTGTTCCACTGGTCTTCATGTCTGTTTTTGTGCCAGTACCATGCTGTTTTTATTGTTATTGCTTTGTAATATAGTTTGAAGTCAGGTATTGTGATACCTCCTGCATTGTTCTTTTGACTGAGTATTGCCTTGGCTATTCGTGGCCTCTTGTGTTTCCATATAAATTTAAGAGTATATTTTTCAATCTCTTTAATGAATGTCATTGGAATTTTGATGGGAATTGCATTAAACATGTAGATTACTTTTGGGAGTATCGACATTTTTACTATGTTGATTCTACCAATCCATGAGCATGGGAGATCTCTCCACTTTCTATAGTCTTCCTCAATCTCTTTCTTCAGAAGTGTATAGTTTTCCTTGTAGAGGTCTTTCACATCTTTTGTTAGGTTTACACCTAGGTATTTGATTTTATTTGAGGCTATTGTAAATGGAATTGTTTTCATACATTCTTTTTCAGTTTGCTCTTGTTAGTGTATAGAAATGCTAATGATTTTTCTATGTTGATTTTATATCCTGCTACCTTGCTATAGCTATTGATGATGTCTAGAAGCTTCTGAGTAGAGTTTTTTGGGTCTTTAAGGTATAGGATCATGTCGTCTGCAAATAGGGATATTTTGACAGTTTCTTTACCTATTTGTATTCCTTTTATTCCTTCTTCTTGCCTAATTGCTCTGGCTAGGAATTCCAGTACTATGTTGAATAGGAGTGGAGATAGTGGGCATCCTTGTCTGGTTCCTGATTTTAGAGGGAATGGTTTTAGTTTTTCTCCGTTAAGTATAATGCTGGCTGTAGGTTTTCATATATAGCTTTTATAATGTTGAGGAACTTTCCTTCTATTCCTAGTTTTCTTAGAGCTTTTATCATGAAATGATGTTGGATCTTATCAAAGGCTTTTTCTGCATCTATTGAGATGATCAAGTGGTTTTTGTCTTTGCTTCTGTTAATGTGGTTTATTACATTTATTGATTTTCATATGTTGAACCACCCCTGCATCCCTGGATGAAGCCTACTTGGTCATGGTGAATAATCTTTTTGATGTGTTGCTGAATTGTTTGCCATTATTTTGTTGAGGATTTTTGCATCAATGTTCATTAAGGAGATTGGCCTATAGTTCTCCTTTTTGGAGGTGTCTTTGCCTGGTTTTGGGATAAGTGTAATACTGGCTTCATAAAATGTGTTTGGCAGTTTTCCTTCCCTTTCTATTTCATGGAACAGTTTAAGGAGGGTTGGTATCAGTTCTTCTTTAAAGGTCTGATAGAATTCAGCAGAGAATCCATCAGGTCCTGGACTTTTCTTTTTGGGGAGACTTGATTGCTGCTTCAATTTCATTTTGTGTTATAGATCTATTCAGGTGATTAATTTCCTCTTGGTTCAGTTTTGGATGATCATATGTATCTAGAAATCTGTCCATTTCTTTTAGATTTTCAAATTTATTTGAATATAGGTTCTCGAAGTAGTCTCTGATGATTTCCTGGACTTCAATGGTGTTTGTTGTTATCTCCCCTTTTGCATTCCTAATTCTACTAATTTGGGTTTTTTCTCTCCTCATTTTAGTCAGGTTTGCAAGGGGTCTATCGATCTTGTTTATTTTTCAAAGAACCAACTTTTTGTTTCATTAATTCTTTGTATGGTTTTTTTGGTTTCTATTTCATTGATTTCAGCTCTTATTTTTATTATTTCTCTCCTTCTATTTGTTTTGGGATTTGCTTGTTCTTGTTTTTCTAGGAGTTTGAGATGTATCATTAGGTCATTGATTTGGGATCTTTCAGTCTTTTTAATATAGGCACTCATGGCTATAAACTTTCCTCTCAGGACTGCCTTATCTGTGTCCCATAAGTTGCGGTAGGTTGTGTTTTCATTTTCATTGACTTCCAGGAACTTTTTAATTTCCTCTTTTATTTCATCGATGATCCATTCTTCATTAAGTAATAAGTTATTTAGTTTCCAGCTGTTTGCATGTTTTTTGTCTTTACTTTTGTTGTTGAGTTCTACTTTTACTGCATTGTGATCAGATAGTATGCACGGTATAATTTCTGTTTTCTTATATTTGCTGAGACTTGCTTTGTGCCCTAGGATATGATCTATTTTGATGAAGGTTCCATGGGCTGCTGAGAAGAATGTGTATTGTGTAGAAGTTGGATGAAATATTCTGTAGACATCAACTAGGTCCATTTGATCTATTGCATATTTTAGATCTTGGATTTCTTTATTGAGTTTTTGTTTGGATGACCTATCTATTGATGATAATGGGGTGTTAAAGTCTCCCACAACCACTGTGTTGGCGTTTATATATGCTTTTAGGTCTTTCAGGGTATGTTTGATGAAATTGAGTGTGTTGACATTGGGTGCATACAGATTGATGATTATTATTTCCTTTTGGTCTATTTCCCCTTTTATTAGTATGGAATGTCCTTCTTTATCTCATTTGATCAATGTAGGTTTGAAGTCTACTTTGTCAGAGATAAGTATTGCTACTCCTGCCTGTTTTCAGGGGCCATTCGCTTGGTACATCTTCTTCCAGCCTTTCATCCTAAGCATATGCTTATTTCTGTCGGTGAGATGAGTCTCCTGTAAGCAACAAATTGTTGGATCTTTCTTTTTAATCCATTTTGTCAAACAGTGCCTTTTGATGGGTGAATTAAGTCCATTAACATTAAGTGTTAGTACTGATAGGCATGTGGTGATTCCTGCCATTTAGTTGTCTTAGTTGTTTGAAGGTTTGATTGTGTGTACCTAAGTTGATGTTACTCTCTACTGTCTTGCTTTTTCTTTTCCTGTGGTTTGGTGTTGCCTGTCTTTTCATGGTTAAGTTGGGTTTCACTTTCTGTGTGCAGAATCCCTTGCAGAATCTTTTGTAGTGGTGGCTTTGTGGTCACATATTGTTTTAGTTTCTGCTTATCATGGAAGACTTTTATTGCTCCGTCTATTTTGAATGATAGCTTTGCTGGGTAGAGTATCCTGGGGTTGAAGTTATTTTCATTCAATAAGGGCTAGATCTTAATTCAAGCATTTACTCAAATGTTATGAGTATTTCTGATCCAGAAATTGTGGGCAGTATTGAAGATACAGAGATGAACAAGACACGATTCTTGCCTCTACCTATTGAGAAAGGCAAAGAGGTAATAGACACATTGAATATAGTCTGAGAAGAGCTGTGAGTGAGAAAAAAAAAAA